TTTGGACGTCACCGACGGCTGAATCGTACCGTTCCTTCCAATAGCGGTCACCCCTGGCCTCCAATTCGCGATTGATTTGTTGCAGTAATTGATACGACTGTTGAAGTGACTGGTGATCGCCGGCGAGCTTCTGGTTCTCCGCCCGAAACGCGTACAGTTCGTTGTCCCGGGAGTCAAGTCGCGCGCGTAAAGTTTGGCACTCATTGGCCACCCGTTCGTGGTCTTCGGCGGACACTGTGGGCGCGCCGACGGCCGACAGATTGTTGCGCGACGTTCGCAACTCTTCATTCTTGTTGTACACCTTTTTGCGCAACAGTTCCGCTTCGGTTTGGCTTTGTTTAGTGAGCGCCTGCTGTTCGGCCAATTGTCTGCGGCACTGGTCATAGTTGTTGGCGTATTTCTGTTGCACTTTGCGCTCCTCGTCCAACAGTACCCGCAAACTACTCAACTCAGAGTCCTTCAGACCGCAAACCCGCTCCGTGTCGGCCAATTGGCGTCGAGTTTGGGCGCAGTCGTCGGCCGCCTGTCTCACCCGTTCCTGAGACTCGTTGATCTGATTCTTGAGCGCTTGTATCGACGCATTCCGTTCGTCCACTTCTCGCGCCGTCCGCTCTAACCTGTCGAGAGCGTCGTCCGATTCCCGCGACAACTGTTTGGTCAGTGACCGCAAGTTCTCCAATTCGGTGACCGTTCGCGACAACTCTTCGTCCGTAACCTTCTTCGCCGCTCGCGTTTCGGCCAATAGTTCTGTCGTAAAAATGGTATTAATTTTCGTATTTTAATTCAAATTATTTCACACAAAAGCACAGACTTTACAGATTAGTAGAAATGCAAACATAAAAAAGCTTTTAAATGAAATGACAAACAAATTAGTGATCGGAGAGAGAGTTAGAAGTATTTGCAGGAATTGTGTGCTAATGAATGGCCAAACCTTTCAATATGATTAGCGCACACGCCGTGTGCCGTATCGTCGCCTTTAAATACTGGTCTATTGTGTGTTAAATAACATGCAATTGGCATACAATACAAGACAAGACAATACAACAAAAACCAAACCATTAAATGTAAGTTAAAAACAATTATTATTAGACAAACAATTAGTAAATGTGACACTCATTAAAATCCATACCTTTCAATAAATCAATTTCAGAGCTCAGCTGTTGACTAGACGTCTGGTGATCGGCGGCCGCTGTGACCGGCACTTCGGGCGCCGCAGCGGTCGTCGAATCTGTGTTCGCTGTGACGGACTGTTGGGCGCAAGTAATCACACCATCACTGCTTGAAATACTACTGCTGTCCACACATACTGTTGTCGTGTCAATTATATTGTTATCATTTGTACTCAATTCGCCGTTAATCAGTGGCCGCGTTGTTGTCGTGTCGATCATGTGTTCTGTTGGAGTGGCGGTTATGGTTGTAGTGGTGGTTGTGGTCGACTCAGTGAGTGTGAGGACACTATCGGTGTTCCCGCTCTTCAGTTCTGCCAATTCGGCGCTCAATTCATTACATTTGGCATCACTTATGGCTAACAATTTGCGCACTTTTTGCAACTCATCGCCGATGGCATTGACACTGTTGTTCACATTGTCTTCGTTGTGGCCATCGATGATAGTATCGGTGTTATTATTGTCGACGGCGACAACGCTGTGACCGTCGGCGGTGGTGGCGATCATTGAGTTCTGCGCCACACTTTGCTGCTGACGCCTCACTTCCAGCTGAAGCCGAAGTCCCTCGAGTTGGAGGTTCGCCGTGTCGTTGGCCGCCCGGAGCTCTCGAATGACTGCGCTGTTCTCCGCTTCTTTGGCCGTCAGTTTTGCCATCACTTCCTCCAACTCTTCGCGATCTTTAGCGGTCGCCTCAATGAGCGCTATCTTCTGGTCTTCGGCGCCCTTCAGGCGCGCGGCGTAGGCGTCAATCTCTTTGGCCAACTCGTCATTACGACTGGCGAGTCGGTCGATCTCGCGGGCACTCGTGGCGCACACCTCTTGGAGTCGAGCGCACTCTTCCTCATTGCTATGGGCGGAGACCTCGAACTCATGCAAACGCGTCAATACAATCAGCTTCTCCTCCAGAGACCGTTGAATGGCCTCTTTGGCCGCCGACTCGTACCGGTCCTTATCGTCAATGAGTTTGAGCATCTCTTCGCGCACGTACTGTAGGGTCGACACAGCGCTGTCCGTACTGTCGACGCTCTCCTTGTTGTTGTTGGCGGTGACGGCTGTGGCCGACGATTGACTGTTGGCCGTCGAGTTGAGGCATATTTGGAGTTTGTTTTGAAGCGTTTCAATACGACTAAGTAGACGGTCCTCTTCCACCAACGACTTCCAGCCGACGTTCGCCGACTCCTGCGCAGAGCTCACCACCCGTTCCAATGTCTCCAACTTGTTCTCCAGTATCTGTTCCCGATGTAGCGCTTCCGTCAGATACTGCGACAGTGCGTACAACTGTTGCGAACTAATGTATACGTTGGCCACCGATGCCGTGCCTCCTCCTCCACCCGATTGGTTCGAGTGCTGCGACTGACTGTCCGGATGCTTGGCCTCCGTTCCGTCGGGATAGTAGAGCCGAAGTGTGGCAATAATGCAGCCGTGAGTCACTTTCTTCTGGTTCTCCATCACATCCACACCAAACTGGACCACATCTCCGGAGTAGACCTCTCGCGGCGCCGACTCCTCGTTGGCCGGACTCAGCCTCTGGTTGTTGACGAACGTGCCGTTTGACGATCGCGTGTCTTGAAGGTAGAACTGCAACAACAATCATATCATTAATATGACACCAAAACAGCCAATCAATGCAATCATTAGGTGTACTCTTATATCCCATACCCGACGCTAACACATAAATGGGTTCATATGATTGCAATAATTATGGCAAACGTTATCATTATTTTAGTGCATATTTAACTACAAATTATGTAATGCTATAAATCTAAGTTATAAAAATTAAATGGCATGTGATTTACACAATCAACAGTCTTATAGTGAACATCAACAGTGAATTCAATGCATAATAATGTGGCACAAAATGACCAAAACATAACTTAACGCTAATAGAGATCAAGTAATTGAGTGGTAAACAAAGGAAACTCATGAGTCATCTCTTAGAGCACACAATAAGATAACAATTAACACCTTTTGATCCTCAAACCAAAGCGACGCGTGATTTCTGGACAACACTTTGCAGTCAAAGACAAAGTTATCGTCGGATGGTTTACTTCGGGCGACAGCGCGGCCGACCTTCACGGCCAACGCCGGGGCGCCGGCCGTCATATCCACCGGCACTCGACGCTCGGCGAACGGATGCGATGTCTTCCGACACACGAGTATCGCTCGAGCGGTCACACCGTCGCCGCCCGTCATAGAGGGAGAGTCGGTGTTGTTGTGGTTGTTGTTGACTACGGATGTGTTGGCGGTGATGATGACGGGTGCGGCCATTGTGTGAGTGAGCACTCCATTGGCCCTAAGAGTGCCGGCAAGTGATGAGTGCATGTCTGGCATCGGGTGTGCGGTGTGTCCTGTGGTGGGCGTTGGCGGCGATGACGGCTCAGTCTGTGCTGGCGTTTGGGCGGTCGAGGCCTCAGTGGTGGCGCCCACTGGCGGACCGACGGGCGGGTCGTTGCCATTGATAAGCATCTGTTTGGATGTGTTTGTGGTGATAGTGGGACCGATTGGACGATCACTTCAACCATACATTCATACCTTTCATATCATATGAGAGCCCAAAAGGTGTCAACAATACTCTCAAACACTCAACCAATGAATGTCTCACATAAACAATGTCTCTATAATTACGTCCAATAAATGGTATAATAAACACATTTTGTATTTAACTAATTGTAAAACTGATTAATGTTTTATTTAAAATCCATTTCATTTAAAGAGTGATTAATTGAATGTAAAAACAATTTATAATTTGATTACTATTATTAGATATATAATTACGATAACGACTAATAAATTGACAAAAACAAAAAATTACAAGAAATTGAATTAAAGTTCGTAAAACAATTGGCGTTATATATTGTGGCCGAATATAGAGTCGTTTCGTAATTAATTGCCAAATTTAGGGATCGTTGCGGTCACTGTTGACACCACTATATATAGTAAGACATCATAATCGCAATCAATACCATTATGCAGACAATTAATGTGAAAACCGAAGCCTAAAATAAATTATATTGTAAACATATTAAACAAAATACAGTAAAACGGCATAAATATACAGATATTTGGGTGAATCGGGAGTCGACTCGCATTCGGAGCGTTCGGCACTCATCCAGAAGTGACTCGTTTTGTCTAATGAGAGACTCATTTTGTTTAATTAGAGACTCGTTTTGTCTAATAATAGCGCTAATGGTGTCCTGTTTAGTGACGACAGCGGCTTCAAGTGTGTTGACTCTCACTTCCAACTCTTCGTTCAGTTTTGTTACTTCGCTTATCTGTCCGCAGAGATTACGCCTCTCGTAATCAGATTCAGTAGATTCTCGAGAAGCGGCCGATTCGGGCCTCTCTTCAGCCATTGTGTTATTGTGGACGCCATCGGCCCCGCGGTTACCACTCAATCCTCTATGCATTATATTCGCAATTAAGACACGCTTTAGAAGTGTAACCTATTGTCATCAAGTAATCATCAGTAAATGCAATGTTCATCTGCACACCACTCATGCGTTACCTTATTTGACCAGTTTTACAAAAACTACTCTTATATTACAATACATGTGCTGCACTTTTATCGTGAATGTCATGTATTCTACGATTATACATATTACTGTATTTACCGTAAATGTTACTAAACTTTAGATTACATTAAAAATACAGTAATATTTAATATAATCGTAGAGTACATGACATTCACGATAAGAGTACAGACTGTACTGTAATATAAGGGAAATTTTTGTAAAAACTGGTCAAACAGTTGGAAAGACTCATGTGTGGTGTTTGTGAGCACACAATGTGTTAATAATACCTTAGGTTTTTTCCTGTGCGACATTTTGCAGTCAATGACAATGTTATCAACGAGTGGTTTACTTCGGGCGACAGCGCGGCCGACGCAACTGCCGATAGCCGTCAAATCCCGAGCAACTCGACGCTCAGCCAACGCATGCCATGTCTTCCGACACACGAGTGAAGGCAGTGATGAGTCCATGAGTGCCGACGGGTGCTGTCGTGTAGGCGGTGGCAGAGATAACGACAGATCACTCGTATTCTTCGTATTGGTGTCGATCGTGACGTCCGTAGAGACCACTGGCGGCCCGCCATTGATGAGCGGGTCGTCGCCATTGGTTAGAGAGCCGTTATTATTGACTGCGGATGTGTTGGCGGTGATGATGACGGGTGTGGCGGCCATTGGGTGAGTGAGCACTCCATTGGCCCTAAGAGTGTCGGCCAGTGATGAGTGCATGTGTTGGATGGGGTGTCCGGTCTGTCCTGAGAACGGCTCACTATTAGTGGCGGTCATTATGTCGGCCTTACAGGCAGTGAGAGGCCGCCCGCCATCGATGGGCGGGTCGTTGCCATTGATAAGCATCTGTTGGACGTGTTTGTGGTGATAGTCTTCGCGAATGGAGTCTAATGTGTTGGACTCGAAAGTGTGGACAGTATTGGAGCCGCGATGTGATGGCCACCGATGAGTGCGCCCAAGAGTTGTGTCCACAAGTCGTTACTCTTGTATAACGTCTGTTGGATGTGTTTGCGGTGATCGTCTTCGCGATCGGGCGATCACTTTAACCATGCATTCAATTGTTATGATTTGTGAGACAAAGTTATTTGTAAACAATAATGGACTCAATAATTACGTCAATAATTGTAATTATGGGACAAATTGTGGATTCAATGAAAACACAATTTAAGGACAAATAATAATTATTTTTATTATTAAAGAATAATTTTCTAATTTAATTAAATATATATTACATTATTTCTCGAAATAAAACAAAACAACGATTTGTTTTCGTAATTATATTTATATATTATTTTTGTCGTAAAGTTTTTGGTCTTTAGTTTTAATGTTGGTATTAATGGCTTGTATTTTGTTTAAAACTTTTTTATCATGTTTTTCCACTTGTAAACGATTTGTTTTCGTAATTATATTTATATATTATTTTTGTCGTAAAGTTTTTGGTCTTTAGTTTTAATGTTGGTATTAATGGCTTGTATTTTGTTTAAAACTTTTTTATCATGTTTTTCCACTTGTATTGCAATAAAAATATAACAAATTATAACAATTAAAATAGCATTCAATTAGTTATTAATTGATGTTTAGTTTTGGATGTTTTTAATGTAATATATTTTGTTTTGACAATCATTTTGTTTGGTCTTTGGGTCTGAATTTTTGGATACAATTTTCATATAAATTATTTTATTTTGATTTAAAAAACAATTTTTTAAATTTCAAACTTTGATCGTAGAAAAAGCGATTTTATTGATAATTAAGATTATAAAAACACGTTTCATATACTGTTTTATTTAAAAAAGATAATTCAAAAAGAATTAAGTGAAAAGTGCCATGTTTAATATTGTTTAACATTGTTTAATAAAATGCTAGTTTTAATGGTGTGCAGAGAAGTTGCAACATTGGGTCTGTAATTGGGTCACTATATGGCCCCCAGACGCCAGAGTGTCTGCTTATTGGCCATTAGTATCGGCGCATTCATCCGACACATCCAATACAAGTACTTCTTCGGTGGCAGTCTTGAGGTCTTCGCTAAGCGTTTGATTTTCGTTGAATAAGTCTTCAGATTTTAACTTCAAGTTTTCCAACTCTTTACAAACGGATGTGAGCTATGGTTTGGTGTAAGGAATCAAAATATGTCAAAATCAGTATATTATCGATGAATCACTGCTTAAGACCTTTGTTTCGTGTGTTTGGACGTCACCGACGGCTGAATCGTACCGTTCCTTCCAATAGCGGTCACCCCTGGCCTCCAATTCGCGATTGATTTGTTGCAGTAATTGATACGACTGTTGAAGTGACTGGTGATCGCCGGCGAG